CATGCAAGGAGGTTATACTATACATTTAAGATGTAACCAAAAGTTTATGGTTTGTAAGAACCGTGGTAGATATACATTTTAGTTTCTGGTTAGTGGTTGTGCAGGGGATAAGCGGCCGGCACTTTTGGAGATTTCTTCTTTTCCGCCCGGCACTTTTGGGGATTTCCTCTTTTCCGCCCGGCACTTTGGGGATTTCCACTTTACCGCCCGCTGGACGGAAAAAGGACGCTTTCGAACGCTTCGACCGCGGTCGAAAACCAAACTTTCGGTGCAGGCGTGACAAAAAATATATTACCTACGTACAATTCAAAAGGTACTTATACGGTATACTTATATACTTATTAATTATAATAATTATAAATGCATAATATACTACTTATAAACTATAATATAGTATGTCCAGTCTTGTAAAATATTTGAGTAAAAGTATTCAAATAATTTTTAAGTACTCAAATACGTATTCTAAATACATTTAAAAAAAGTTCTTGGGTGCAGTATTTGAATACTTTTTTGAAAGTTACTGTATTTAAAATCAAATACTATTTTAAATACTTTTTTCTTCTTACTTTATTTACAGGGACGTTAAATTTAAATAAAATAATAAAAATTTGAAATTGTACAACATTTAACAATATATCAGGAGCCTTGTATTACATTTTTAAACTTTTTGGCCTAACAGATAAAACATTATTGATATTTATAGATAAAAATACTAAAAAAATTGAAAACGGGACATTTACCGTAAACAGCTCAAAAAGAGTCAAAATATTTTCCAAATTGTATGGTGAATAGAAAATGAAAATATAAACATTCAGTGAAATTTTCATGTATCTACAGTTATTCGTTTTTGAATTACAACACAATAAGGAAATCGCTTCATGAGAAATCGAGTGAACATCCAATGTTGTAAAAATTTGAATTTCAAACGCTCATAAAAATGAAATTTGACTTTCTTATAGAAATTTTTTTTTTTTTTGATTAAGGTAGATAATCTTATAAGGAATCTTGTATTACATTTTAAAATCTTAAATTTAAAAAGAAAATTTTTTACGAATTCTTTACTCAAAATAATTTTTGCTAATTTTCGTGATTTTTCCATATTTTGTCAATTTTTGAACTTTAAATGCTTATAAAAAAAAACTGTGACTAAGGATTTTTAATATTTTTCATCTGCCTTTGAAACAAATACTAGGAGCCTTCTATTAAAATGTCAAGTTTTTTAACCAAAAAATAAGATTTTATTGACATATTTAGAAAAAAAACTAAAAAAAAAATGAAAAATGAAAATGTTCCTAAACAGTTCAAAATATTTTTAAAATGTTATCGTGTATTGAAAATGAAAATATAAACAACCAGTGAAAATGTCATGTATACAGGGTGTCCCGTGAGGATTTACTCATTGCGATATCTCCTGAAATAATAGAGATATCGTAATTCTGTTTTCTTATTAAGACTCACAGAGGTAAGCACTACAAATAACTAATTTTTATTTTTTTTATATGTTTTGGTAAAAAAGTTAAAAAAATTATTTTTTTAATTAATTATTTGAAAAAATATTGAAGATTGCCATTTTGTAGAGTTCATTTTTCTGAAAATATTGACGTTTCAACATTTTAATTTCATTTATTTCCTGATTTTTAATAATTTTTTCAATTAATAAGTAAAACGGTAAAAAACCCGGTTTTTGTCCGGGCGGCGAGTCCCCCTCTACGGCTAATAGGTAAATCCTCACGGGACACCCTGTATACATTCATTTGTTTTAGAGTTGCACCAAAAACCAAAATCGATTTTGTGTAAAAATTTCACGTTTTTCCTTAATGTTTATGTTGTTTTTCCCAGCGCTTGTGAAAACTATTGGGAATTTTAAAATTTGACCTCCCGAATGCAGCAACTAGATTCACTTTTCCATCGAACAAGATATAGTTGAAGAAAATCGAAGCAGTTTTACTGCCCCAAACCGTGATGACAGACACAAAAATAAAAAATAAAAAAATAAACACACATCATTGTAAAATCAATACATTCATCGTTTCACTCAGAATCTAAAATATGTTCACATTATAAATATAATTTGAGACCTGACCGCCACATATCCATATGCATATAAATCTCAATTCAAGATAATTAACAAATATGTAGGTATAAGCATATCTAATAGTATTGTTCTGTGGTAGTGTGGTATTAGGAGGCTATTAGGTACCTTTTGGTACCTAAATAAAAAATTGTACAATAACAATATAATACAATCAAATAAAATTATCAATATTTTATATTTTGATATAATATGCAATATACATTTATATAAATCAAGTTTAATATGCCAGTACAAATTCTTATTTCTTACATCATCAAATTTTCAATATTTATTTATATTACTTGAATATGGATTATTTAAGCAAAAATCATTAAATTTGATTTACATTTTTTATTAATTGAGCAAAAATGTTGATATACATTTTTTTACCTGAGCTCAGTGACGTAGTTATAATTTTGTTCTGGGGGAGGATATTTGTTTGGAATGTTTGGATAACAACTTAGTCAACCTTCCCTGACACTATACCATAAAGTTCTGCTTTTATTTTTCATACACTATTATACACAGTAAAATAATTTATATGGAATAAATTAAAGACATTAATTAACAACAAATTTTTTTATCTATAATAATATGTATAAAAGCTAAATACCACTCACTCATCGGTATTTCTCAAAAACGACAAAACATAAGAACTGTAAATTTAGAATAGTGGTTCCTTTAATGATCCAGATGTGCAATGAGGATTTAAAAAAAAAAAAATACATTTTGTAGAATATTTAAGAAGTTTTTTGAAAAAACTTCATAGTGATAGTTCATCAATTACTATTTATATTCTGTTCAACAAGAGAACACATGGGCCCAACAAAAATCGGTTTGGTCTGCCACCGACCGATGACCATAATCGTCGGCGGTCGGAGAGAATCAGTTGCAGGTGTGGCGCTCCCATAATATAGTGTTGGTCATAATTGGGGTTCTTGGAGGGGAACAGAGCCTAGACGAGCTTTCGATCTTCACTACATGCGCAAAACTTGTGCCTTCTCTCGTTAAACAGAGTATAGTATTTACTGTTTTGGCGTAAGGGGTTAATTTTGTATAAAAATTAAACACCTAACATAGAGTTTGGTACATTATATTATAACATAAAAAAAGATGGGCAGCAAGTTGGTCTGTTGTACATAAAGTGTCTAGAGGGACACTGTAATGTATGTGTGAAATTTTAATGCAATGATATAAAAGGATTATGTACAAAAATATAATTTTATCAAAATTTGAACTTAAAATATTTTTAAAAAAACTGTGTTTATATACTTTTGGGTCCAGTATGAAGTACTTATGAGAAACCTTATTCTAAATCATCCTTAGCTATAAAAAATTTAACATTTCACAAATTTTAACTATAAAAAAATTTGTACATTTTTGAAATTTTTTCGAATTTATTCAAAATTTGAAATTTAAATGCTTATAAAGTTATAAAATAAATCCATGCTTATGTATATTTAATATACTTCAACTTAGGACTTAGGAGGAACCTTGTATTACATTATCAAGGTTTTTGACCTCACTAAATAGCTCAAAACGATATATTTTGAAAATTATATCATGTATAAAAATGATAAAACAAACAATTGGTGAAAATTTAACTATTTATGGTTATAAGTTTTTGAGTTACACCAAAAATAAAAATCGGTTTTGATAAATTTTTGTTTTTCATTCAATTTTTTTTAGTTTTTCCAGATCATTTAAAAAAGTCTGAGAATCTACAAATATTTTCAATTTTTATATCAGAAACCATCCTCGAAGTAGAAAATCTTACAAGGTAGTCAAATCTGTAATCACACCAAAAAAAATTAAAAAATTAAAATCCCACATCATTAAAACTAAGTTTTTATAGCTACGTGCAGAATAATATAAAAACTCTGTGGGGGGGAGACAGGGGCGTAGGTAAGGGGGGTTTGGGGGTTCAACCCCCCCCCCCCATTAAAAAATCCCAATCAGTTAATATATAATAACAATAATCAGGAAAAAATTGCATGTAGATTCTACAAACAACAAAAATTACTTTTCAGTTAAACATAAGAAAACAATTAATATATTGCTAAATTATAATCAAGAGTGAAGATGAATATTTTTGAAATACAATTTTACAAGTACGCATTTGTTACGAAAAATAATGATTATCTAGAATCTAGATAGATATCTAATGTTATATTCAATATTGTAATAGCTATATATAAAATATTAACTACAAAATTGAGTGCCCGAAAGTGTGATACACAGTTTTTTCCTCATTTATAATATTTATATCATTTTTTATTTCGAAATCTTCTCAACAATTCAGGCACTCTTCTGTGTCTACTGCAAATGCGGAAAGTTCCTTTTCTACATTAAAACGGTTAAAGACGTATTTACCAAACACCATTGGTCAAGAGCGACTAACTGGACTAACTCTTCTAAATATTTAAAGAGATGTAATTGTCGATCCTTTACTCATTGTGAACAACTAACACAACGTAGGAAAAGATTAAATTTACTTTAAAAAAATAATATTAAAAGTATTTATTAATATACGTCTATATTTGCATTTGGTTTTTTCACATTAGCCTATTACTAATAATTTAAGTCGACCTCCCCCCACATTAATAATCTATACCTACGCCCCTGGGGGGAGATCTATCGCCATAACTACGACACTACCCGAGTCATATCTGGGACTTACTGGATAGACCATGGTAATTTCTATTTTCTAGTTTATACATAAATATGATTATAATAATTTATCGACACTTAATTACAAACAAATTGTTGAACAAAATACTATTAAAAAATAATTCTTATATTATACTAGGTGGCTAGTATACTCTGAGCTACTCTCAAGACAATTAGCTATGGACATATTTTTAAAAATATAATTACTTTAAAATGTATCACAAACAAAACTTAATTTGATAAAAATCATAGATTTTTATTTGCTTTTCTTTTTTCGTTCGTGAATTATCACATGTGTTTGTAAGTGTCCAGTTGTTCGAAATGCATCACCGCATACAGGACACTTAAATGGTTTTTCACCTAAAATTTTAGAATCAACTCATTATCATAATTATACTTATAAGTTATAATATCATAAATGCATAAGCATACACATTAGATAGGTATGTAATTTATTAATCAAAAAATGTATAACCAACTACCTGTGTGTTGTCGCAAGTGAACTTTCAAAGTTGTCGTTGTAGCAAATAATCCATTACACTGGGGGCACTCTGCTCGTTTCATTTGACCTGAATGGGTGATTTTATGATATTCAAGTGAACTCTTAGTGGCAAATGCTTTATTACAATCCTGTTCTTCGCATTTATACGGTTTGTCACCAGTGTGTGTTCTTTCGTGTCTTTCAAGATCGGCATTCTTTTTAAATATTTTCTCACAGAATTGACACACTTTTGGCAATGGATTTTCCGTCTACAAATTTAAAGAGAAAATTTTAAAATAGTTCTTAAAATTGAAATGGGTTTATAACTTACAATACTAATGGTTTTATCTTCTGAATTAATAGCTATATTTGGTACATATACAACTTTTGGCTCAGCTTTACTACTTGGATGACTTATATTTCTCTTAATTTTATCACTGTTACAATTCTTCTTTTTCAAATTTGATGAACTCACATTTTTTTTCCTTGGTCTAAAATTTAAGAGTACATATTGTTAAATGAAACATTAATAGAATAATTACTTATAAACTTACAAAGTCTTTTTTGCATCCAATTTAGACATTTTATTCCCACATTTTTTTTTTCTTGAAGGAAGCTATTTAACATGACACAAAATAAAGTATACATGTAAATCTCATACACCTAATAAATATACTACCTTTTTAGTGGTAGTGGTTTCTTCTACAACACTTAATGGTATTGATTCATTTTCAGTAACAGTTGTTATAGGTTCCGTTCCCTGTAATATAAAAAATACATAATATTAAGTTACAAAAAGAAGTTGTATTATTATCAAGTAAATAAATATTCAAGCAGGGTGAGGTGTTAGATTTTAATTTCTGTTTGATGCACATCAAAAGTATCCATACTTTTTATAGTTATTACTTATTACAAAGTAGCAGGAATTCATAGAAAGAATTTTAGTTCAACAACTGCGAGGGCCTCAAAATGTTTACAACATGTTAAGTTTTCCTACTACTCTACCCTTTTATTGTGTGCTAATTAGCCATAGAAACTATCCCCTAATTCCCCTAATTATAACATTGAGTATATTATATTACAGATAATATCAGTAATCCATGTGTCGGCATTATTAATTTAATAGTACTATGTTCATAAGCCAGTGCTTAGCAACATACATTTAACACACAACATACATCTTATACATCTAATTAATATACCTTTTTAGCAGTTTCTTTTACAACATTTAGTGATATTGATTCATTTTCAGTGACAGTTGTTACTAGTTCCTTTTCCTGTAACATAAAAATTAATAATATTAATATAGCTATTAGAAATTAGAATCCATTTTCCAAATTATGAATGTATAAGTTAGTGTTAGTGCATTACATGTATCATCAGTCGGCATTATTCTTTAAATAATATGTGTGTATTTATTCTTATCTTTGGCAAATGCATTATATACCTTATATAGTTATATCAGATAAGGCAAAAACTAACAAAAACCATAAACTAATGAATGATATTATATTAATACTAAAAAGGCACAAAACATAATATAGTATCCATTTAACAGATAATATTATTTACTATGCCGGGTTATATGAACAATCACTAAACATAATGAATCAATGGTGAACTAATGGTCCCTTAAACATGATTTAGTGGCCCATGATTGGTCCATTAAATTTGATTTAACAATTAAATAAATCAATTTTTCATACTTTTTTTAGCAATTACTATTCCATTTTGTTTCTTAATACAACATATTTTAATAATTAATTTAAATGTATCAATTACAAATATGTAATATATAAATATTAATCCAGATACTTTTTTTTAAACTTAATGAGTATCAAACATTAGAATATAATATAATATATGGGAATCAATGAAATAAGTGGTGAGTAAATCATTTTTAAACAATTATCTTTATTATAAATACTAACGTCAAGAGAAAATTTTTTTAATTAAAACTGAAAATGAATGAAAATAGTACAGACAAAGTAAAATTGATTGAAGTTACTGCTATAAATTATTTTAGGAATTGAAACTTCAAATTTTAATAGGTTGATTAAACTATATTTTATTAGCCTCTAGAAAATTTTAACAATTCTGAGTCTTGTTTTCAATAAAAAAAAAAATACACAAAATGGAAAATATACAAAATATAAATAATTTATCTTATTAAGACCAAGAATTAAAATTAATTGTCAAAATATGTGAATATTAATCCTAATTTAACACATAACCTACTCAATACACAACTCTATCATACTCTTCCAAATTATAGTAGTAGTTACCACTTATCAATTAACCCTAAGTAAGATCTTTTAAATCAAATTAAATGATAATTTCTTGTATAATATTGATTGCGACTGCCCAATTTGATTAATTCCTAGGATTGATTTGATTGTCAATAAAGACCAAACAATCATACAATATTGAATTGCTAACCATTATTTTAATTTATTTAAATAATGAAATATTTAATAATACTCTGAAGTTAATAACATTCTAAGTACCCACTACTGACTTATCATATATTTTATACATAATGCTACAAATATCTTAAAATAAATACTTGGTTTTGAACAACAGCATTTTTGATTGATGGTTGCTCCTGTTTCTTCTTCACAATAATAATATAGCTATTACCTATAAAATGAATTAATATACTTAGCAATACAACAATATACTTCTTGGAAACACTATAAATTAATAATTTTAATTTTAAATTATGTACATACAAATTGTTTGGATGTAATTAATGAGAAAAAATAGTTAATATTGGAGTAAATTTACTAATTATTGTCTTATTTGTAGAGGAGAATATAAACTATAAATAAACTACAATAATAATCCGTTACAAAGATATGCTATGTTAATATTATAATGCTTTAATGCTATGTTACTTATTTGTTAGGCAGAGACAACACATGCGGATACGACATCCTCTCAAGAGGATGTTGGCCTGCATGTGTAAATTTCTTCTTACTATAATACTATCCCATGAGTAAGCACGATATGGCAAATTTTTACATTCAGACATCCATTTAACTCTATTATTTATAATATTAGAATGAATTGAACTTAATCAAATTTTTAAGTAGGAATATAATATTATTATCCATGGCCTCACACAGGCTTTTTTTTGTTTTTGATGTTATAATATTGAAGCAATGAGCATTTAACATTTTAAAAATATTTATAATTTAAAATGTATTCTTACCTTTAAATCTTAATGTAAATAAATTCATTCTAATATTAAAAATAACAGTAAAATGATTGTGCATAAAATTAATCATATTATGGGTTAGTAAGGCAATAATACATGAAGTAACTAGGTCTTACTATCAAATGTGTTTGTTGATTCAATTGTTTCTAGCTTTATGGTAACATTTACCAAACAAATCACCATATTTTTTATTAAAATTATTTTACACTTCAAAGATTGTACAATATATAATGTGCATGCAATAAAATTATAATACCATCTGCAAGAGAATATCTCAAGTTGTCAATTTCAGTGTGATCACTAGCTATATTAGAAATCGGGCTTAAAATGTGATCATAGTGTTCACTTTCAATCAAATTTATTCCAAATTCACATTGCGTAGTAACTGGTTCTTTGCAATTCCTATAAAATATATTAGAATATATTATATTAAAACATTTTTAAACTAAACTATTTAATATATTAATTACTTTAACTCTACATTATCATCATCACTTTGCAATTCACAAGCTACTTCTTCAAGCCATTGTTTTAGCTTTGAGGAATCTAAAAATAAACGTTTTATAAACAATTTAATACATTTTAAATAAGGTAAACATAGTACAAATACTGTTAGTTAGATTACTGTATCATAATTTTTATGAATAAAACCCAACTATCCATATCTTTGTACCTCATTCTATCTGATATATGTATTCTGAATTAAAGATTATGTTCTGGCCTAAGACTCCTAGGTATATTTAAAATGGTTATCAGAATAAAAATCCTCAGATAAAGAATAGTAATATTGTATAGTTCAATGTTTTAAAACTATTTATTCCATCAATTTCATTGAAAAATACAATGCGGGGAATTTTTTTTCCAATATTAATTTTAAATATTTTCAACATAAAGTACATCTTTTCACTAAATCTTTTAAATCTTTTAAATATGTGAGATTATTATTTTTCCAATTTTTCCAATTTTATATTATTTTACACATTTTAATCACAATTACCTCAAAATTCAAGTATTATAATTTAAACAATGAACTTGTTAAACCAACTGTCTGGGATCTATGTTAAATTTCCAAGAATAAAACATCCCCATCCATTTACAATCCCCCTAAATAAATATTTTTTTTACCTTTATTAGAATGTTTATTTTCATCAACTGTTTCTACACTCTTTGTTTCTTTCTTTTGAACCTTTTTGTATACATTTCTAGTTTTCACTCCATGGAAAATATTTAAATGTCTACTAAGAGCATTGATACTGTTGTAAACACACGAACACATGGAGCATTTATGAATTCTTGTTGGTTCTTTTTTAACAGCATGACATTTTTTCATATGATTAATTAAATGACCTACAATAATAATAACAATTCCAATTATAATTTTTATTTCTACTGCAAACAATATTTTGAATCTAAAGTGCATTAATACTGTTTAATGACCTTTTTGACAAAAACTCATTTCACAGAATTCGCATCTAAATGGTCGTATTCCTTTATGTTTCATCAGATGTCTATTTAATGAGTTTTGCTGAGTAAAGTATACTGAACAATCCGTGCACTATACAAAAAAAATTTCATTTTATTCCTTTGTATAACAATCTGATTGTATTAAGTTTACAAATAAGTTGAAATAACTAACTTCAAATGGTTTTTCGCCAGTATGTGTTCTCATATGTCGGCGTAAAAGATTTGACTTATTAAATGACCAATCACAACGATCACATTTAAATTTTTTAATTTTATTAGCTGTTTTATGTATTTTTTTAAATTTTGTAGCAAGTTTATGATATTTTCTCAACACTGAATCAAACTAAAATTAAAAATAAATTATATGTTATAAACTTATAACATTTTACCACAATGAATTTATCATAACATATGTATAAATACTTAATTTTAAAATTTTAATGATTTAAGTATTTAAATATACAATAGAACTCCAATTATCCGAATAATTGACATAATATGACATATCAAAAGTTATATAGTGGCATTGTAACATGACAATTCACTCGTTATAACAATTGACCAAAGGAACTGTACGATGATTAGACAACAACTGACTTACTAAGAATAATACCTATGTATGTATTAAGAATAATAATATATACAATATACATACCTATTCTTTATCTAATTTAAAAATGATTATGAGACATGTGTATGAATAACGGCACGTGCGTGAGGAGTCATCAATTATGAGAGAGAGGAAATACGATTACCATTAATTACAATTTACAAGTTATTCAAAGATCGACCTCTTTTTTTCGTTCAGTTGATTGGCATTCGGATAATTGGAGTTCTACTGTAGTTAGAATACGAGTTAGGTAACAAATATTGACCTAACTTAGACTAACACAGTGAATATGAAGTTTATTTGAATATTATTTTAATTAATAAATATTTTTAAAAATATTAACTTTTTAAGACTGATCAAAAATATTTGTATAATTGAAATCTATTTTCTTCGTGATTGATAAAATTATTATTTGTACATCTTATTACAAAAAAAAATTTTACTTACTTTTCTATGTTCTTTGTTGTGCATTTTATATTCTGATACAGTGGAAAAAGACATATTACAAATTGTACAAGTTTTAATACAACCAACAGATGTTTCTTCACCAGAATTCAGTAAATTTTCTTGTATGCAATTTTCTTTATGAATGTCCAATCGATACTAGAATAAATATTAAATTTTATGGCATTATAAAAACATGAAATAAATTATAGAATACATTTTTTTTTTTATTTTACACAATATATATAAAATCTGTACATTAATTATGCACAATTAGCATATTTGATAAGGGTTAATAAAACATGTAGAGAGTGATAAGAAGCCACCCACTAGTGGCACTTGACTGGATGTTGTATGAACTAACTATGTATTATATGTACTGATTTTTTTTTAGATTTTGGGTGAAGTGATGAATGTATTGATTTTACAATGATGTGTGTTTTTTTTATTTTTATTTTTTTGTGTCTGTGTACACAATAAGTAGTCGAAATAATGATTCGATTTTCAACTTCAGTATCTTGTTCGATAGGAAAGTGAATATCGTTGGTGCATGAGGAGGTCAAAATTTAAAATTCACAGTAATTTTCAAAAGCGCCAAGAAAAACAAAAGAAAAATTAAGGAAAAACGGGAAATTTTACTCAAAACCGATTTTTTACAATATTGAATTTAGTTTTTGGTGTAACTTTAAAACAAATGACCGTAATACATGAGATTTTTACTGGTATTTTATATTTGCATTTTCTATACACGATAACATTTTCAAAATATTTTGATTTATTTTGAACTGTTTAGGAACATTTTCATTTTCCATTTGTTTTTAATTTTTTTTAAATATCAATAAAATTTTATTATTGGTTAAAAAAGCTTGAAAATTTAATAGAAGGCTCCTAAAAGGCAGATGAAAAATATTAAAAATCCTTGGTCACAGTTTTTTTTTTATAAGCATTTAAAGTTCAAAAATTGACAAAATATGGAAAAATCACGAAAATCAGCAAATTAATTTGAGTTAAGAATTCGTAAAAATTTTTCTTTTTAAATCTAAGATTTGAAAATGTAATACAAAATTTCTTATAAGATTATCTACCTTTATAAAAAAAAAAATGTCTGTATAATGCGTTATAAGTACCTAATGGATATTGTGATATGATTAATTTGGAATTTATTATAGGTCAATTTTTTTTTAATACCATAGATAAGTATATAATATGTCTCATACCTAGACTGACACATACCGTCTCCGCTCAGAATCGTTTTTCTTATACAATGATATATCATTGAATTAAAATTTAATACCTACCATCCATTATACAGTGACTCCCTTGTAACCTACAGTACAGCAGAGCACCCTTTTTTTTTTTACTTTTTTTTCTTCTTTCATATTAGTTCCCTAAAAAGTCACGGCAACAGCTACTTTTTAAACGACGCCTGGGGTTTCCACGTAATGTTTGGGTGGATAGGTTTTTAATGAGTGGGTTTTGGTGTGTTTGTAGACGGGCATGAAAGATTTTGTAGAAGCGTATAGCTTCTTCTGTTACAGTTTTAATTGACAGGTCATTATGTATAGTGTAATTTGAAATAAAAGGTGGAGCATTAGTAATTTTCCTAAGAGCAATTTTCTGAAATTGTTGAATTTTGTTGGTATTGGACACTTTTGCTGTACCCCATAGTTGGAGACCATGAGTTGGAGTGTTTATTATTTGTGAGTAGAGTTTGTAGCTTGCGAAGGCGGGCGTTTAAGGCAAGTCTCTTTATACGGATATGGCTATTCCAAGTGAGGAGCTTATCCAAGTTAAGTCCTAGATATCTAACTGTGTCAGATGTGGGAATAATAGAATACATAAAAAAAATATAAAGCATTTGCTTATTTATTAGCTGTGATGTACCTTAACGATTGTGGTTTATAGAAGGCAGTTAGATAATAATATTATTTTAATATTATTATACTCTCTTCAAAGTTCAAACCAAATTAATACTGTTTTATTTTACTTATAATTTATTTATATCATTAAGATCACACATTTAGCAACATTAACTATTTTAATTTTTAATTAATAAATATTTTTTTTATTTTTTTATTCATAAATAAGAATGTATACATTAAACCTATAAAAATACATAATAATAAATAGATATTAAAAAAAAACATATTCATTACATTGTGTAATGTATTTTCAGAATATTTAAATAGTAATTACTAAACGCTTAGATCAAAGCTTTCTAATAATTATTCATCATTATAATAAACAGAAATCATTGAATATTTAATATTATATCTATATATTAACTATAAATAGGTACCTGATTGTCAAATATTTTGTCACAAATATTGCATGTAATTAATTCTTCAGTTTTATGAATTTTCAGGTGTGCTTTAAAGCTAGCATAGCGTTTAAATTCTTTTTTACATTTTGGACATTTTAAATTACTTGTTGAATGAGAAGCAATGTGAAGTAAATAATTATTCTGTAAAAATAAAATAATATAATATCATAATATAATATTGAATAATTTAAGGAAAACTATTATCACTTACATTGTAATTAAATGATTTTAAACATTTCAAACATTTAAACGGCTTATCATTTAAATGTTCTAGTTTATGTTTCTTATAATGTTTCCAGTTGTAAAATTCATGTAAGCATAAATCACAAACAAAATGGCCCTAAATAAAATATAAAAATTACTCATCTGATTAAAATAATTAATCAAAAGCTAACTTACATTAGTATCAACAGGACTTTTAGCGACATCATCTAAAATTTTAATAGCAGTTGAATTACTGTAGTTCCCACTAGTTATATCAGTGTTGATCTTAACTTGTAAATGTTCTGTCAAGTTATTACTGTCATTAGTGGTTTTATTAACTGTAAAGTTTTAATTTGATAAAATTATTTAAATAAATAAAAATAATAGGCCATTCAAAGTATAGACTAATTACAATCTGTACAAATTTCTTGGAAGTGATCATCAGAATTTATAGTAAAATCAATATTTTCAATAGGAGATTTATCAGATTCAATATTATTTGAAATAGTCTCGACATCATTTATTTGTTCGTTTGAGTCAATATGTTGGAATGTAATTAACTGTAAAGGAAAAAATTATATTAATATTAAATAATAGAGGAATTGAAATAAAGTTCTTTACCTCTGCGCCATCTACAAATAATGGTTGTTCGTTAGTCTCTATTAAAAATGTTTGTCCCAACAACAAATCGTTTAATGGAGCCATGTCACTCATAGTTTGACAATTATCCTGGTCTAAATCTAAATAACAATTAACAATAAATATAATATTTAATAAATAACAAACTAAATAGGTACCTACACTTTTAGAATTAAGCATAGAACTACAATATAATATATTGTTAATTGTACTTTTATATTGAAAAATAAATAACTAAGTCTCAAGAAAGAATATAACATGAATATATTGAACACACGAGCAAAGATTGTTGATTAATAAACAATTTATTGTGTATATCTGTATCCAGCCTATTATTATTATGAATGTATTGATTTTACAATGATGAGTGTCTTTTTTATGTTTTTTATTCCTTGTGACTGTCATCACCGTTTTGTTTTCAACAGTAAAACTGTTTCCATTTTTTCAACAGTATATTGTTCGATGGAAAAGTGAATCTAGTTGGTGCATTGGGATAGTCCAAATTTAAAAACAGGGAAAAACAAAACAAAAATTAAGGATAAACAGAAATTTGTACCCAAAATCAGTTTTTGACAAATTCGATTTTGGTTTTAAGTGTAACTCCAAAACAAATGCCCGTAGATACATGGAATTTTCACTGGTTGTTAATATTAGCATTTTCTATACACAATAAAATATTCAAAATATTTTGACTCTTTTTGAGCTGTTTACAGACATTTTTAGTTTTTTTCTATCTATAATTCAACTGTCAAGTAAATTTTATTTGTTGGGTAAAAAAGTGTGACAATTTAATACAAGGTTCCTGATATATTATTACTTCATCAGTTGAATAATATTGAAAATACATAGGCACTATTTTTTTTTGTAAGCATTTAATAATATTATGATAATAACTACAAACAATTATTAATTTTACTTGATAAATAATAGACTTGGTTAGTAATAAAAACTGACAAGCACAGTACCTAAATACTTAACAGTCAAATCAAAGTAACATAAATGTGTCCCTAAGAACTCAAATTACTTGATAAAAAATATGACAATGTTTGTTGCACTGGAAGTATAAAATCTAAGACAACATTAGAATCATTTGATAAAAGGGTTTTTAACAATAACACAGTTGTTACATGTTAATCTATTGTTTTTTGATTTTCCCTCAGTGTACATTATTATTTTTGGTATATTCTCAAGAATCAACACTCAATACAAATGTTTGGCTACTTACTCATGTCCGCACACTCATCAGATAATTGTTCGGATTGAGAGGTCAATGAATGATCAGCATACGATAAGGTAATAAATTCCTCATTGGTATTTTCCAACATAATATCTAGTTGATCATCCATGTCTGAACGTCTGTTGAAAATAATAATATACCTATGGTAAGTACACACTCAGCCAAGAAAAGCAAAAAATAGTTGGTAAATCAAATTAAGGGTACACTTACTCGCTGGATATTCTTTATGATTCCTTTGTTACACTAAACGGGTCAATAGACAAGAGTTACCAATATTAATTATTCTATCCAACTATTATGATGTACATACTGTGTAACTTGACATCACTTTAACACACCATTGGAGACTAAATAAGTCACAACAGTAAGTCGTACACTCGACTATTTGTTTGCAAAATTAAAATATTGTAAAATACATTGCGAAGAACTTAAAACCGGTAGGTACCCAAGATGTCGGTATTTTCCAATGATTCTATATAGAGGGTGGGCATGTCGTTTGTGTGGCACATCACATACACGAAAGGGTGAATGTACCCCGAGAGCCGACTGTTGTCGTGTAGAGTCATGGTGTCAACGTACTATAATTACAGTCTATTATGCTTTCTACTTTACAGGTAGAAGATAGATCGTAGACAATTAGAAAATAGGACTTGGGTACCCAATAAATTATAAAAAAAACTACATTATTGGTTATTACGTTTTAACTTTTAATGTTTATGTTAAATGTTAAATGACGTAGTGCGTCATTGTATTATTATTGTGTAGGTTCGTTATCTCTGTCCAGTGCGAATTCCAGACGCTTTGATAAGGAATCGCGACTGCGCAAGTTTGCCAATCAAACGGTGGATAGATGGCGCGGAATACAGAAATCAATCATTAGATCCGTCCGCTCATTATATTTTATTATTTATAATAATATTATATTTTACGAATTGGCCGATTGGAATCCAATCGTTGGATGAACATAAATAATAAGGTATGTAAATGTGTAATGAAATAATAATTATATTATATTTTATTATTACGTTAAATGACTTATGTACGTATTCGTTTTTCCATACGGACAAATTTGACATCGTTAAATCGTTTCGATTGGTCTTATCCTCCCCCGAAGGCCACAAGAGTCAGTACCTAACTCGTTATTCGATAACTCAGATTTTGTCGATTACTATAATATTATATACCTAATAACAGTTGAACAATATAAATGTATGTATATGAATAATAATATATTATCAGGACATCAGGTTTTTTCATAGACATATTTTTTTAATAAAATATTCATCAAACCTTATTTAGGTAGGTACGTTTATCGAAACTAGATGTCGCAGTGTATTTTATTATATTTGATTTAGTTACAGCAATATTATTATTATTATTTAGTATCGTTTCTCACGATCGGTGCATAGTTAATTAATTACTGATCTAAAACCACACGTGCCTGTGGTGAATATGCTAAACGACGTGCGACGCCTGATTAGGTACCTAATCGCTTATCACTAATTATCTACTAATTAGTGGGAAATAGGGAATACCGTGAAAACTCAAAGAATAATTTGTGTACCTACCTACGATGTGTTACGTCTTAGCTACGAGTTTTTAGGTTTTAGTTTAAAAGTAACATTTTTTACTCCATAAGTTCTTAATAGTAATGAATCCAGAACAATCCACCAAGATTTATCTCCATTCTTTGGTTTCCTTAATCATTAGTGTTTTAAACTGACAAGTGAAAAAAAAATGATCATCGTACCACTCGTTTTTATAACTTTTTAAACTATAAATACGTTTTTACATCCATTTTTCGAGATATTTTAAGAGCATAAAATCCCAGTCTTATGATGGTTGCAGATTACACTAGGTTAGTATTAGCCTTTGTCTTACTACAATATTTTTCAAAAATGTATTTACCTATGTACCAATTAAGATGTATCTACTTTACTTCATACAATTCTAACATTTTGCATTGCGCCATTGCCTGTATTTATTTCATTCTTGTATGTTTGACGTTTATGTTGCATATAAACTGTTGATCTTTAAATTACCACCTACACTTATTATTTTGAAAACCATGATAGAATACTATTTTACAAGTGCTGATGTGTATTGTGTGCCTATATACAAATAAATACCAAAAAGGTAACAAACTAATAACTAATATTAAATGTATAAAACTAGTTTTTTTTTCATTGAGTATCATTTAAATTCGAGATTAACTGACTGGCAAATTTTTTAGTAAAATTCGGCTTATGCCACTTCATTCCTATTATATTTAACTTAAATGCTTTTAAAAAAAAAAAAAAAACTTTTACTTTCATATCAGATAATATTGGGTTAAAAATATAGGAAAAATAAGGATAGCACGAATGTCAGAATTGCATGTACATATTATTATATATTTGTCTCTATACCCATATATTATCTTAAATTTTACAAAAAGAATACCTATTTCGAAAATAGCATTACCTAATACTTTTAAAAATAATGATAGTTTTTATTAATTAAAGAATAACCGATTGTAATATAATGCTTAAGGTTTACGCACTGTACGTCTGTAGACTCTAAGACCATTAAACCCATTGTCCAGAGATATTTGCATCACAGGAACGTTTTTGCTGCTCTAAACTTATATATTAATATAACGTGTTAAAATAAGTCAATGCATCATTGTGTTCTCATTTCGACTAATGGCCAATAGCCACAATATTATTAACTATGAACATCATGGACTTATCCCCCCCCCCCGTAGATTAACTGAAAATACTGTGGGAAAGCATAATGTCAGGTGTCCCACCTTGCAAAAATCAATTACAATTATATAAAATGAATATTCCTAAGGAACATTCGTGTAAGTAGCTACCCACATGTATATAAAGTAGGTTCGGAACCGGAAGGTTTTCGAAAGCACCATCCCTGGACCCTTACGTTGTTTTTAACATTTTAAAACTATATTTCAACTATAGGGAACTTGTATTTTATCGTGTATACAAAACAAATAATTTGGCTGAAACAAATTATAGAATTGTTTCACGATTTTTCAATACCCGTGAAACTCAACAACTGTTTATTATACCTATAATAGTTATATTGGGTACTTAAATGTTCTCTACTTATTTATAGAAAACTACACGTGTCGTACAAGTTAGTAAGTACTCACCATATATAGGAGTGTCAATTGAGGATATTAAAGTAGTATATGGACGTATGGTACATGTATGATGTTGTACTTAAACTGTGTTTAGGTCGCGGCCGTCAATTATCGCATTGTTGCGCAGCTGCGGTGCAGAGCTCTGTAAATTTTAATCCTTAAAACTTAATCAACTCAAATATTTTCCATATCGGCGTCAGGGCCGTTGGGTTAAGTTGCATTTTTTTGTTTCTAAATTATTTTTATTTATATTGTGGTTACATATATACTTATAAAGTTTCATAAAGCATCTTCGATTAGGTAAATAATTATAGTGGTACATTTGGATGAGACCATATTTTTTTAAAAAATTTGAAAAAAATTAGACAAAGTGTCAATACTCAAGAACAACCACTTCCCAAAAAGTCGTCAATAAATTGTTATGAATACTCAGTAATCACTACATAATATAATACCCATAAGAGTATAAGACTACAAAAATCATTTATTTATAATTTTCCCAAAAAAAATGTTTTGAGATAATGGGTGGTGTTCACTGTTAAGACACCCGGTATATTATGTAAAATACTAATTTTACATTAATAATAATAATAATCAACTACTATGACTAACAGTAAATCCGTGGAAATTTCTACATCAAGTCAGTATAAGTATATTATGATATAGGTACTTTCTTATTATACTGCACATTAATCTTGTAGGTCCATGAATTAATTTAAGTTATCGCAAAACAGCAGACTATTATACTATAAACTAGTACTATTGAACTCAATGTTTGTGCTCAGTACTGTTATTTATTTTAATTTTTTTATACCCAGCCGCGATATGATTATACTTTTCAAAAGAGATACAATTTTATTGGTATGTGGTTGTAATGGTAAGACCTAAATTAAATCATCATTAGTGGTTCTGGCCTCTGGGACAGCTTGTAGGTTAGAAAATAATAGAAAATCGGCTAGTTTGCAGATTTCATATTATATGCTACACCCGAAACTGAAGTTTGTACACACCGCATATATTATGGACTACTTATGTAGGCACTATATTAATATTCCTCAACAGTAGCGCAAAAATAGATTTCGTCAACTATAGTTCAATGTGCCAATGCGGTCGCATAGAGTGGCATACCCACCCACAGCCAGTTTGTAACTATATCTACGAGTACCTATATAAATATTAAATTATAGTTAACCAAATTATATATTATAAAAGATAAAATAAATGCAATTTTAGAGTTACTATAAATGTATCTACCGTATTGTGCCGGCATTCATATTAGCGTGATTTACCGAATCTAAAAAATTGTTCATATATTAACAAGCTGTTCAAAATCTTAATAAAAATAATTACAAACCCTATCGGGGGTTTCTTTCAAAATTTTAATAGTAAACAATCATTATCTTGACATGTATAAATATGTTTAGAAAATATTTTTTTGCACACAGTTCAAAGTTATTGCAAAACCATGGTTTTGAAAAATAATCAAAATACGATATGTTTTAAGTTTTTAATTTTTTGAAAGAGCTTAAGTATATTTTTTATTTCATTTCAAATTCCAAAACGAAACGTTGGTAGAGATTAAATATATAAAAAAACGAACTTCGAACGTGCAGTTCACTAATTATAACTTATAAGTAAACCTAAGTATTAAAGTTTACATAAGTGGTTAGGAGTGACACATTATTTACTCCACAAAATAATTTCAAAAACATTAATATTTTTTGATAATGATTGTTAAATAAATACTTATACTTAGTACTTACTATACTTACTGTGACTTTATAATTGATCTTATATATATATATAATATCAATATGCAGTGGCGTGGCGACCGCGGTGAGACCTTATGTAATTGCATCAGCATTAAACATGCATTAGCCATATTATAGCTATGTGTTATTATATAATATTATATATGTACCTATATGCTATTTTCGACAGGGTTTGAAATTTTATCACCACGC